TCAATAGCTGGAGTTCTCTGGGTGGATTACAACACATAAACATGCAATATAAAAGTACACAGAAGACAAAAGTTATCATATGAAATTTAAATCAAATTAAAACTCATATAAATATTGCAATAGGCTAAGAAAATGAATCAGGCAACCTGTTTAGGCAACTAAGCTCACCAAAACCTAATTCAATGCGCTGCAATAGAGGATAGTCTTCATCGGGCACTGAAAGGATACTAAAGTGGGTGCCAGGTCGGCCTCACTGGGGAGGTCATAAGTGGGGGCCACCACTGAAAAAGCCCTTCTCCTTGTTGTCACCAACCAAGCCTGCCTTGGAGGTGACAATCGGAGGAACTCCTGCTACAGGCCCACTGCTGCTACTGCACCTCCTGTTTGGCTACTCCTCTGATGAGAACCAGGCAGCTGCCACCACAATTGTCCACGGTGCTCTGGAGAGCCCATCCAAACCTGCAGAAATCAACAGGAGGAGAAGCTGAAGAGATGCCTCTGACCTAGCAGGCCCTGACATGGTGGGTGGGGAGCATGAAAGAGGCTCATGCCAAGGATGCTGCCATACCTGGGGCCGGCTCTCCCCTTGCTAGATTGCTGGTGCTGCTTTCTCACGGTTGAACCAAACTCCTGAGAAGGTGCCTCATTGCCCAACAGACCCATGTGTGCAGGCAATTTGTATTTATTTATTTATTTGATTTCTATTTCACCTTTCTTCTTTTTCAAGAACTCGAAGTGGCTTACAGAATTCTCCTTCTGCTCACAACCTTAACCCCAGAGCAACACGCCTCGAGGTAGGTTGGGCTGAGAGTCTGTGACTGGTCCAGAGTTACTCAGTTGGCTCCGCGACTAGAACCCAGATTGCCCGAGTCCCGGTCTGGGGCACTACATCACACCGGCTCAGAGTGAGTACCTCCATTCACGCTTCATTCTCCACTTCTGCATCTGCAACACGTGGCCTCATTGGCCCCTTTTCTCTAGGAACAGGCCATGAGTTTCTTTTACCTTGTCTCAGATTCATCAGGGTTTTATTTTAAAGTTAATTTGGGGAGGAATTACAGGCAATTTTTTCCGTGGATATCAATGGGGAAGGGTACAGGTCCCACTGGAAACACATGCCCTGCCCCATTGACATCCACAGGAAATTACACGGCATGTGATTGTTTCTGGTCAGTTATTTGGGAGTCAGACTCGATTCCAGAGCATGCACTACCAAACAGTTGCTTGTTTGCATGATGGATGGGGGTTGTAGCCAGGTAGAATTTGAGAACTGAGAGAGGACTGACTACAGATTGTAAGATCTGTCCCTGTGTAACAAGTAGCACCCCATAAGACTTCCTATGGTGGTGGTGGTAGCCTCCATTTTGAATATCCGAGCTGTGGCATAAGCACCTTGTACCTTGGTGGTACATGTGAACCCAGAAAGAGTGGATTGTTGGATTGGCTGACAAGCCACCCAGAACTTGTGAACTGGTTTAGGCTTGTGGATGGCTAGTCAACCAGTCTGATACTCCATTCTCATTGGGCTTCTAAGTAGCAAGGAGCTACAGCGGCTGCATTCTCATGTCATGACAAGCAACCCTTTGATGTTTCCCTAGTGCAGTTATTTTTCCTGGAGCTGCATGACAGGTGATCAAGTGGTTTTCATGTTAGTGTAGCTTCCATCTGTCTCACTGTCTTCTCGCTGGTAGTACAAATCCTATCAGCTGCTGTGTCTGAAACTGAATCCCATGCAGGATGGCTAGAGTACCTCCTGCAGCAGCTGCTGCTCTTTCTGGAGACTCTGTGTTAGCTGTGTTAGCTCAGGGTTTGGGCCATGGAAACAACCATACTAGGTTTGGACGAACGGAAAAACCATGGTGAATCATGGAGACCATAGAACAGACCACTGTTTCTTATGGGTGCAGCATAAAAATGTTATAAATAAATAAAAATAAATATTGTGGTTTCTAAAAACCAAATGTACCGTGCTGAAATACCATGACTAGGTTCAGAAGACACGACAGTCCATCCTGTGCAAGAAACTACCATGGGTTTTGCATCAAGAGAATTGCCCGTTGACTCCCATCACATCCTGGATTTCAAAATGGTCGTCATCACCATGGTGAAAAGCCGCATGTGGAAATTCACCCCTGGTGACTTCTAGTTATGCGAAAACTGGGTCAGTAGCCTATGTAGGCATTTGCCTGCTCCATGTAGAGCTAAATAGGGACTGGAAGTGTGAGAGAATGTATTCCTTGTCCCTAAGCATCTAATTTTGCATTCCAGGTGTAAAATTAGAGTAATATATTTGTTAATGAAGATTAGTCTTAGGGGTTATTAGATTTATTGGTTGGATCAAATAACTAATATCCAGGTATAGCATTATAATTATCTTCAAACTTAGGCGAGAGCAGGGTTAAAAATAGCTGTTCGTCAGCAGGAACACAGTTTAAAGGATATGTTCATAAATACTCCAGTAGCACAAAGAACAGAACTGGAGGTCCTCAAACATAAGGCTGCACCCCTGTATAAACTTTCTTGGGAGTAAGCACTGCAAGACTTATGTCTGGCTACCTCATAAACCTCTGCCTCACCTCTGGAATGGGCTCACTAAAGACGTTCACCTGGCATCCTCATTCCCAGCAGTTTGCCAGGTGAAAACTGCCCTATTTTCAAGGTATTTAAATAATTTTTAAAAATAATATTTATATTGTTTCTATTTTTATGAACTTTTAATTGATTTTAAACTGCTGTACTTGCTCCTATCATAATACTGTTGTATTTTATGGACCTTTCTATTAAATTACTGATTTTTAAGGTAATGTACACTGCCCAGAAAGCCCTAAAATGGTCTATAGGTTGCACTGAAAAATAAATAAACCTCTGGACTTCTGAGTGCAAACATCTGTAGAGTAGGCTGACACAGTTTCCATGTTCAAGAACCTCAAATGTCTGTGACATGTAGGTGTTCCTGCAGCAGGCTGATAATTCTAGATGGGTTTTGTTAAAAAAAAATCATTTGCAATTCAGATACAGCCTGTGGTACAGCTTATATTGCTCTAGAAATGTTAGGATGCCCCACCCTTGGCAGCAGGAGGGCTTCTTTCTGCTTTAGTCTTGGCAGGCAAGAGCTTTTCAGGCAAGAATGCAATAAATGAAACAGTATTTATTTAAAGCTCTTTTGGCCTGCTGTTCAACTGAAAAGGCTCCAGCAGCAAAAATCAATGAGCACAATACCAAAACAAATGGGGAAGTATTTGAAAGACACTTGTATTGCGAATTTAAGAAGTCAGCTATAACCCTACAAATGGCACCATAAAAGAACTAGCTTGGTTCAGATGCTAGATGGTATAGCACAACAAACTCAAACCTTCAAAGATCCTCAGGACTACGTATGTCCTTCTCCCACATCTGATTCCTTCCCTTCATTCCTGATCTGATGCAAGCCATAGGGGGAAAGGGGGTTGTAACCCAAAACATATTTAATAGAGGATAAAGGTCAAATGCATGGTTGCATTTCATGTATTTTTTAAAAATTACAAATTCTGCTGGAGGCACATCAAACTTGGGACCATGCTACAGAGGGAGGGGATGAATCCTTTCTAATGCTGCAATCTCTAACCCTAAATCTTGATCCTGCTCTGGCTCCAATAGAAACTTTTATCCATTTTAAATAGTGGATACCATGAAGGAATTGAATCTCTGACCCTATATGCCATAGCCCTAATTCTACTCTAAACTCACCTACAACAGCTAATGATCTAATTTGGACCAAAGTCCCATCATGCTCAGTGGGAGTCACTTTTGAGTAGGTATGCTTAGAATTACACTGTATACAATCCCACTGAAAGTAAAAGGAATTAAAATTAGTCCAGACTAATTTGTGCCATTGGTTTCAAAGGGACATGAGGAACACTTTTACTCAGAAGCAATTGCAGGAATTGCTCTCCTGTAACTGTACTTTGCATTCCAGGTGTAAAATTAGAGCAATATATTTGTTCATGAGTGATTAGTCTTAGACATACGGTTGTTAGGTTTATTGGTTGGATCAAATAAGATCCAGGTGTAGCATAATAATTATCTTCAAACTTAGGAAAGTAGGGTTAAGAAATAGCTGTTTGTCAGCAGGAACATAGTTTAAAGGGCATGTCCATTAAATACTCATGCAGCACAAAGTCAAGAACAGAACTGAAGGCTGCAGTCCTGCACAAACTTACATGGGAGTAAGCATTGTAGAACTTAAGTTTCAGTGGGCATCCATAGGACTGCATTATAAAGGTACAGTATAAAGACAGCCAGTTAGGATATATTGACATTTAGGCATAAAAAAGTCCTACAACTCCCAGCATGCCCATGGCAGCATGGAGAACTGGGGAGTGCTGGGACATGCAGGACCTTTTTCTTCCCCCAAACAAAGCATAGCATGGCACTCTGAATACATAGCCAAAGAGCAGATGGATAAAACCTCATATTTAAATACGTTTACACATACGCGGTATATTAGTTTAATGTTAGATTGGGAAAACACTTAATCTATATATGGAAGAACACCTTTCAAATAGACGGACTACATACATTTACATTACAGTATGAACAAATATGGTAAATTCTTTATTTGAAAATTAAATAAGAAAAAAACACCTTGCAAACGCACACAACAACTTAAGGAGAACTAGTTAATTCATTACCTGAAGATCAAATAGTTAATACATACATAGAAGTGCGTGTGTGTATAAAACAAGTATGCATATATACCCCGAAACCCAAAATATTATATATATTGCGTGTGCACACCCCCCGCGTTCCAGAAGGAGCTTTACACGAAACGCCACGCGGGGACTCGGCCGGGAGCTCCCGCGCCACAGGCCAGGCATGCGGAGCCTCCGCCGAGCTCCCCGCGCCGGTCGCGCCGCCGGGGAGGAGCTTCCCGCCCGCCCCGCCGGCCAGACGACTCCGGCGCGCAGCAGCCGGAAGCTCCGCCCACTCGCTGCGCGGCAACTCCGAACTTCCGCCTGCCGCTTCCGGTTCGGAGCGAGGGAGCTTCCAGTTCGTGAGCGGGCGGGGAGCCGTGTTCCTGGCGCCTTTCTCCCGGCGTCTCTTCGGTCGACGACTCCTCTAGGTACGGAGCAGGGCGCGTCGGGCCTACGGCCGGGCGCCGCCTCTGCCTTTCGGGGCGGCTGCGCCTGCGGACGAGCCGCTGTCAACCTGCGCCTTCGTGTTTGCTCCAGCGGCACCTCCTCCCGTGTCAGCCTCCCCCCGCCCCACCTAAAAGTATTGGACTACAATTCCCATCATCCTACTCCCTGCCAGCCCTGTTGTAGGGCAGCGCATGTGGAGGGTCCGAATTCTGGTGTGTGCGGTCGCGGCTGTTCTGCGCCATTCTGATGGGTCCCCTAAGTCCTGGGAAGGCCGTTGGGGTTTAGGAGAGCCGTATGTATTGCCTGCGTACCAGCAACTGGGGATGGGCGAACTTTGTACTAGGGCACCTACTTTGTCTTCACGACGTCCAGATTTCAATCCAGGGCATCTTCGGCTAGGGCTCAGAAAGCCCCTGTGTGAAACCTTGGATAGCTGCTGCCAGTTAGTGTTGATAATACTAGGCCAGATGGATATAACTGGCTTGTTATAAAACATTTTCTCTGTGCTACAGCTTTTCATCAGTGTGGAGGAAGAGTGAGCTTTACATAAAAAATCCATAAATTAACATTGTGGAGATATTTACACATCAAGCTACAACTTCCATCAATTCCACCCAGTCTGATCAATATGCTGATAGGAGTTGTAATTTAAATATCTATAATACAATATCTGGCTGTAATCTAAAATATCTAGAACTTAAGTTGTTAGATCCCACAACCCTTCCTATATTTTCTCCTTTTTGGCAAATAGCTTTCTTAAATAAAAGGAAGGCCTTAAATGATGTTTTCTTCTCTTTCAAAACTAATGGAACTTGCCTGCTTGCTAAAAGGGAACAACCTTGCTGAAATAAACAACAGTTTGTGGTGGATTAGAGCACCACCAAATGCGGAAGGATATCAGCTGTTGAGTCATTCTGTGTTCCCACACAGAAGAAATAATTCAAAATAAATTTGAGGCATGTTCATTTTAGGTCTATGCGGTGAGGATGGAAATGCGTAGTAGGACATAGCTGCTTAGAAAGTGAGAGGAATCACAGAAGCTATGAGGCACAAAAGCCATTCATGCCCTAGTTCTGTCTGAGAATGAGCTAGGGCAATGAACAGCATTCTCTGGTGAAAGGTGTTTGAAATCCCAAACTCCACTCTTATCCAGCTGTTCTGGTTGACAGTTTGTTTCTGGGTCTAGTTGAAAGTGCTGGTCTAAGTCTGGTCTCAGACTGAGACCTTTGAGGTTATCTTAGGATAAAGCCCAAGATATGTTCTTGATTGTAAGCTTGAAGACGTATGACCATCCTTTGCAGGGTAGGAGGAATGGCAGAGGTAATACATGTCCCCCTGTTCTCCCACCCTAGATTTTTCCCTAGATGGGCTTTTGTCCCAGTATGGCTGGGACATGCCAGAGGAGGAGGAAAGAAATGTATCTGGACTTCTCCCCTCCCTTCCCACCAGAACATCCTCTTCTCCAAGGTTGAGTTCCTGACTTTGGAGAGCAGTCACTATGATTCTTTCCATGCTGGTGAGGATAGGAAATAGGGTGGGAACATCTTTGTTTCTGACCTTGGGTCAGGGAATCTGAAATATTCTGTGCCCCCTCAGATGCTGTCAAAGGACCATAGGATTGTGCTGTGTTTTAAGTTGTCCATAGAAGCTGTTAATGGTAGCTGTGACTGTTTTTGTGTTTTTATTGATTATATGGTTCTTAATTATGTCATCAAAAGCTGCCTTAATGTTTTACAGAAAGGCACAGGATAAAATAATTAGAGCCTGGTTCTTAGGTTTTCATGGGTTACTTCTGGCTTTGTAGGATATTGGAAACAGGCCCAGCCATGTGTGTATGTAGATTTTACTTGTGGGGAATGCCAGCTTGGGCTAGGAACAAACTATCCAAATCTGTTGCTCATTGCAGCCTATGTGCCTTTGCTTCTTTTGGAATAACTATGAATGTTTCTTAAGGCAAGGTCAAGTAGTTATTGTGCAGAGCAATTTCTTAAGGTAGAAAGGGAATATCCACGTCTGTTTATAGAGAGCAAATATTCATTATCTGAGAACAGCAAATTATAGGTTCCTAAACAGCATAAAAATAGGAGTATGAGATCACATAGGTGAGCACAGAGGATGGTCTTCCAAGTGATATATATAATGGCATCACCTTGATTCAGGTTGCCAGTGCATGGTCCTTATTATAGTTTATAACTACTATCTAGTGTATCACTTGTTCAGCTGTATTGATAATGTTTGCTCCCTCACCCCATTCTATTAAAAAATGAAATTTGCAACATTTAAATATTTTAAAACTGAAATAGAATCCTTTTTTTCCATTTGGTTTTAGAATAAAATTTCTTGAAAAGAAATTTAATCATAAATTACATTTTGTCAGTTGACTTTACCTTCTATTTACTGGTTTGGGAATTAATTACAAGAAAATTTGATACAGAAATAAGAAAAGTGAATAGTTCTACCTCTTTTAACATAGCAGTATACCCTGCCTCTACACAACAGTGTTGCTTTTTAAAATTTTATTAATTTCTGGGTGCCTTTGGGCAAAATCCATTTTTTCTTGCAGTGGCCAATTCCACCACTTCTGCTTCCACTCACTGCTTACACTGTAGAGATTTAGTTATTTGGGGAATATCCAAAATGAGTGGAAATGCTTGTTTCAGAAAGTGGGCATGTTGCCATAGATTGTGTAAGGGAGAACCACAGTCTATAGTTTCAACATCATAGTCTTCTTGCAGCAAGGTTTTTGTAAGCTGTCCAGAGACTCTGGTAATGGACAGCATATAAAAACTTTAAATGAATAAATAGTTCTTGCACTTTTTGTCCGGTACTGGGAATAGTACAATTGTGCTGATAATACAGAAACCTAGTGTACGGCAGGCCTGTAATGAGGATATAACATACCCCTCCGGTTTTGTGAGAATATAGCAGAGGTGAGATGGATTGTATATACCAGGGAACACTCAGGGCCATTTGGAATATTCTTTTAAAAATATTGTTTTCAATACGTGCACATGAATTTGTATTAAATGCATACAACCTTCTACTAGCTTTGCATAGACCTCAACAAAAGCAGGCCAAATATCCAAATAGGTTTCCTGTGAAAGATGGAAGTTGCCATCTATATGTCACCCGTGCATAAATTGTGAGTCTTCCAAGATTTTCAATCCATTGCATTGTAGGAGGTGAGTGTCAGTTCTTCCAGTTTTGTAGTATAAGTCCTTTTAGAAGATATGGAGAACTCATGTCCCTTTCCATTTGTCAATTTCCATGAAACAGGTAAATAATTAGAGCATTTACATAAGTGAATGTGAAAATCTGTCCCAGTATGAAATTCTCTGTATAATTACCTCCTCCCAAAAAGAAGCAACTACTGGACATTGCCAAACACATCACCATTATTTATTTCATTTCTACACAGCCCCACAGCTAAAGTTCTCTGGGTGGTTTACAACGAAACTGTATTGCATCACCAACAGTCAGTTAAATTAGATGTTACAAAAGATGTTAGAATGTCAGATACAGGGCAGAAGTATTTTTCGCTGAATAAAACAGCCAAACATCCAGCAAGTAGATGCCACAGTGGTGATCCAAAGATTAGGCTGTGCCCACAGCAGTTTTACAAATTCCCAAATGTGCCCTTGGGTCCAAAAAGATAGGGACCTGTGATGTACAGTGCATGGGATTCCTTGGAAGAAAGTCAAGATGTAACTGAAACAAATAAAATAGAAATAAAATAATGGCTGTGAGAAATGCATTGTTCTTGAAGAAAACTACCCAGCAACCTTGAAGCCTCCAGGTTTGGACAGCACAGGGCAAACAACCTGTCCAGTTTAAGCGTGAAGCATACTTGCTAGGCTAATCTGTTCAGGGTATGTATGATGGATCAGGTTTCAAAGATAGGGTGCAGACTGTATGTGCAGAAGGTCCTAGGTCTGATGCATGTACTCGGTCACTGAAAGATTTAGAGAGATCTCTGGCTGAGACTCTTCCAGCAATCTGTTGGCAGTCAAGAGTAGGCCATTCTAGGCTCAGCCTGCAAGCAGGCATAATGTCATCCTAATGTCAGTAGGTATGAGATTAGGAATGGGCCATAATAGTAAAAAATGGGTTAGCTTGAGTCCTGCTTTTTCCATAGTTAAGAAAGCAGCTTCCTTTGTATGTGTTTCATGGTGGCACTTACAGATTGGCAATACTTTGCTGTTGGGCATCAGCTGAGACTTTGAAGCGTAAGGAGGAAAACACTGAGGCAATTATGAGAAAAAAGCAGGTCTCCCCTACAGCTCCTGCTTTGCAATAGAAATACCTCAGTGAAAGGCAGAGTTTGAAAGAGAAAGTTGGCCATTTTACAGAAGATCTTGTGAACTTCCCCTTACAGGGCTTGAAAAGAAGAGAGGTTAGAGCACCACTGTTACACCTCCCTTGAGGGCGGACCTTTGAGGGTGGACCTTTAAAAATATTTTAGAAATTACATAAAAATGGAGTTTCTTTCCATCCTAGTTCATGATCAAGGTGTTAATTCAGTAGAAAATAACTTTGACAGAGGTACAGGTAGCATTTTTAATCTCTTTAAGAGCCGCCTTGGAGAAATTCTAAGGTGTTCTCTCTGTGTAAATACTAAGGAAACAAAGCCATCACTTAACTTGTTTCTTAGAGTAGCTCTCACTTGACCCATAGTAGCTATTTACTTAGATGGCAATGCATTAGATGCTACTGTTGGGTGATGGTCCTGTCTGCTCAATACATCAAAGATATGGTTCTCTCAATGTGAATGGCACCTGGCCACAATAGGCATTTGAGATTTTAGTTGGGGATATAGAAGTTCTTTATAAACTGAAGAATTGTTACTGCACTTAATGCGGAAAGAAAATGTTGGCTTTGTTCAAGATTCAATTATAAGAAGGAAATCTTGTCCCATAAGAAAAAGACTGCACTCAAAGCATCAAAACTCTAGAATCAGAAGTTGTACAGTGCTTGTTTTAGTACTTGTGAGTGGCAGGTTATATTGAATAATGGAAAGTAGCAATAGATAACAGCTGAAAACAAGTGGGAGTGTGGCATAAACCTGACCTCTTACTGGTGATTTTGCTTTTGTTCTATTTAGCAAGAATGCCTAATGTAAAGAAGACCGCTGGAAAAAGAGGTCCTACGAAGAGGAAGCTTGCAGAGGAATTTCTTCCTGGAGAAGTTTTTACTGACATGTTCAAAAAAACTTGGAAGCTTGGCCCAGTTATTGGGAAAGGTGGCTTTGGCTGCCTCTATCTTGGTAAGATAAGAGTTTAAACAGTGTTAAATTTAGAGCCTTGTATTTGTTCTGGAGATGGTGGTGGTGCCATGTAATTTTAAGGCAGTGGGAGCAGTAAAATATAGTCATTGTGTGCATGATTTGACCAAATTGTCAGCATTTTTTCCTTCAAAATACTATCTTGAGGAATCCAAAGATGCACTTGGCAACTCACACTTTGTTCAGCCCTACTGAATTTATGTTGTTAATTCTGACTTTCATCACCTTCATGCTTGGAAGTAGGGCTGCTACTCCTGACCCATCCTCTCTGCTTCACTGATCCTTCTTCCTCCAGTAAGAGTGATTGCAGAATTGCAGGAGCTTTTGCAGATGGCTTCCTCCTTAGACTTGAAGGTTATCCACTTCCAAACTCTGGAAAGCATCTTGCTTTTCTAGCATTCTCACTGAAACCAAGGATCTGCCTGTTCAGAGGAACCTGGTTGGCTAGTGTTGAAAGCAGAATGATGGACTCAGTAGATCCTGATATAGATGTCCTCGATTGTGTGGAAGCTTGGACCCAGTTGGCTGCTGGTTGGACATTGTAAAAATATATAATGCTTTTTGACCCAAAATGTCCAAATTAGCAGCTGAAGCATGCATCTCAAGAGTTGTCATAGCTTAAAAGATAGAAACAGAGCAAGTCAGAAGGGGTCTCCTGGGGCATCTAGTCTGGCCCCCGACTCCAGCTGGCTCCACTCATGACATGTTTACCATGTGTGTGTCCAACCTATCCTTGAACACGCTAACCAGTGGGGCTTCAACCACCTCCTGTGGAAGCCCATTCCACACCCTTGGGGTCCTAGCTGTCAGGAAGTGCTTCCTGGCATCCAAACTGAACCTTGATTCCCTGAGCTTGGCTCCATTGGAACATGTCCTCCCCTCCACCACAGGGGAAAAACAGGTCTCTACCCGCCTCTGTGTGCACCCCATCAAGTACCTATATGTCGCCAACAGATCCCCCTGGAGTCTCCTCTCCTCTGGGCTAAAAAGACCCAGTTCCCTCATACGGCTTCCCCTGCAATCTGGCCACCATCCTTCTGGCCCTACACTGCACCGATTCCAACCTGGCGATATCCTTCCTGTAATGTGAAGCCCAGAATGGAACACGGACTCCATCTGTGCACACACCAGAGTCATAGAGTGGCAGTAATACCTCTCTTGATCTAGAAGCCATGCTTCTGGCTATTGACCACTGTGTCACACTGCTGACTCAAGTTTAGCCTGCATCAACCAATACCCCACGATCCCTTTCACAAGTGCTGCTCTCCAGCCACTTGTCCCCTAACCTGTACTTATGGCACCCATTCTTATGCCCCAAGTGCAAGACCTTACACTTATCCACATTGAATGCCACCCTATTCTCCCCAGCCCACTTCCGTACTCTGTCCAGATCTTTCTGGATCTGGAATACCTGCTCTTTGGTTGTGGCCACCGCCCCCATTTTATTATCGTCTGCAAATCTGATCAGCAGACTTGTCACCTCCTCCTCCAGGTCATTGATGAAAAGATTGAACAGGATCAGTCCAAGGACAGAGTCCTTGGGGACCCTGCTTGTCACTGGCTGCCATCCTGATGATTTCTCACTAATAGTTATCCTCAGCTTTCAGTCTGTCAGCCATGTCCTACTTCATTGGACAGTGCATTGATCTATCCCAAAACTACTCAATTTCTCAACTAGGATATCATGTGGTATTTTGTCAAAGGCCTTGCTGAAATCCAGGTAAACCACATCTACCACATTCCCTCCATCTAGCCACCTTGAAACCTTGTCATAGATTTCCACAAGGTTGGTCTGGCAGGACCTGTTTTTGCAGAAGTTGTGTTGTGTGGCCGCCAACCTCACTTCCCTATCTAGGGTTACTAGATCTCTCACTATTATAAGCCTTTCCATTATCTTTCCTAGAATGGATGTAAGGCTAACTGGTCTGTAATTCCTCATGTCCTCTCTACTACCCTTTTTGAAAATTGGGACCACTGATGCTACCCTCCAATCTCTTGGAACCTCACCCATTCTCCATGAGGCCTCAAAAATGGAAGCAAACAGACGTGAGAGTACCCCCGCCAACACCTGAAGTACCCTCGGATGTAACCTATCAGGGCCCGGTGCCTTTGTAACGTCGAGTGCCCTGAGGAGCTCCTCAACTTCTGGGGGCGGGGGGGTGACTCTAATCTGTGCCCCTAAATCCCCAGCCTCATCCGGTCCCCCATGTAGATCTCCCCCATCCTGCTTTGGAGAGAACACAGAGGCAAAATAATCATTTAGCAAATGCGCCTGTTCCCACACATGAGTCACCAAATCTCCTTCTTCCTTATTAAGCAGTCCCACCACCTGTCTTCCCTTCCTCTTGCTATTTACATGTTGATAGAAGTCCTTTTTATTGTTCCTGATATTGTTTGCAATATCAATTCATAATCAGCCTTAACCTTATGAAGAATCCTTCTGCAGTGAGCCTCTTCCTTGAATACCCTTTTGTGTACTTGTCCCAGTGCCCATTTCCTACAGAGGTTCCTCTTTTGTCTAATCCCTCTTACCATCTCTTTTCGCATCCACAGTGGTGCTCTCTTTCACCTCCCCACCTTGCTAACTAGCAGTATTGCCAAGGCTTGTGCCTTGAAGACCACCCTTTTGAGTGCCACCCACCCCTCCTGAACTCCTTTGCTTTCCAGGACCCTCTCCCAGGAGGCTTTCCCCAGTCTGGCCTTCAATTGACCAAAGTTGGCCCTTGTGAGGTCCCAGCTTCTACTACTCAACCTGCTGCTCATCCCCATTCCCCTGAACTCAAAACAAAGGATGGAGTGATCACTTACACCCAGAGCTCCCCTAATCTGTACCCCATCTATCAGCTCCTCCCTGTTGGTCAAGACTAAGTCAATTGATATCTTCCATAATTACCATGTCCCTCCCCAAGATATCCTTTGAAACTGGTCTGCCAGAGCATCGTCCAGGGTCTCAAGTTGACTTGGGGGGCAATAATATATTCCCACTGTCAGGTCCCTCCCCCTGTGGAAACCTTTAAATTTTACCCAGACCATCTCTACCAGATCCCCACCTACTTTGATGCATTTTATTTTTCCTGCCATCCTTCCATTTTGCTTTCATGCAGTTTATTTTTTCCACGTGTCCATCTTTCCCAATCTGTAGTCCTAAAATGATGGTGGACTGCAATTCACCATTACCTCAACCAGCAGAATTGATGGTCCAGTGTAATGCAGAGACCTCAGATTGGGAAAGGCCAGTTTATCTGATTAAAGCAAATTATTCAACTTCTGTATTGGCTAGAAAGTTGGAATTGATGGCCATTCTGGGGTAGGAGGAGGAGGTTTGCCTCAAGTTTTGTTTCCAGCAATGCTGCTGTTGCTCAAGACCTTCTGATCCCTACAACCTTAGAGAGTCCTCAGACTAATTTAAATGGAAGGAATGAATAATACACCTTTACTTCTTCTAGCTATTGGTAAAGATCTCAGCCATAGGATTCCTGTTTGGAAATTGCTAGATCCATGAGCTGGAAAATAATTCATTTTGTGAAATGCAGCATCTTAGTCTAAAAAGTAAAAATCCTTTGCCTTGTAAGAGAACTTCCTGATGGTGGCTGGCTTTTCTGGTGATCGTGGTGTGGAAGCAAGACATTCAGCAGGAAATGCTTTATAAATTAATTATTTCATTTCTGTACCTCCCCACAGCCAAAGCTCTCTGGGCGGTTTACATAGTCCATAAAACAGATAACAGTAAAATAAAAATATAATAAAATCAGAAAAATATATTAAAAAGCATAAAACAGCTTTTTATTGTCTTTTTAAAAAGAGATAATAACAACGAATAATGAGAGGGGGGTTTCTCTGCAAAACACCTGTTGATCACCCTCAAGTCCCTGGGTGGCTGTTGTTAAAAGCCTCAGAAAAGAGGACTGTCTGAATTTGGCACCAACAAGATGACAGATTTGGTTCTAGCCAGGCTGCAGTGGGGAGGTTAATCCAGAGATGGGGGCCACCACTGAGAAAACCCTCCTCCTTGTTGCCACCTTCTGCACTTGGAGGGAGGCCCTAAAGGCTGAGCATAGTATTACTGGTCTCAGGATTTGGTACAGTGATGGCTGTTGGATCTGACTTTGTTCAGACTAGCAATAATAGAATGGTCCCTTTCTAGCTTGCAAATGTCTGGCAACCTAATGTTGCCATTTCAGTTACTCTTCCAGAGAGCTATTTCACCCTACAGTTTAATGTGTGCTTGGGAAATTGTGGGAATATGTAAAACAAAAACAAAACAAAGTGCGACAAATGCACTTTGGCACATAAATATACCACTTTGGAGGCACGATTGACCAAGGAGCATGTTTAATGTGTGAAGAACCCAAGTGGTATTTCTTTCAGGCTTAAGGTACTGCTATTGTAAAGGTTCCCACTCAGATGTGGCTTTTGCACTCAAGCTATTAAATAACATTTTTGTTTTATTTTGTAAAACTACTCACTGTATATTTAAAAGTAGTTCTCTCATCCTACTCATAAGCCCTTCATATTTTAACAGCTGATGTTAATTCTTCAAAATCAGTCACCAGTGATGCATCCTATGTTATAAAAGTGGTAAGTTTAATATTTTTTTATTTTGAAACAGTCTGTATTTGAACAGTCCAATATCTCAACTCGAATTTGGTTGACTATTTAGAACATTGTAGGAAAATGAGAAAGAATGTTCTGCTTACCTCCTTGCAATAGGTTTGTGAAATTTTACAGGGAGAAATTTTGTTCCACAACTTGAACAACTAAATTCAAAATCTTTTAATTCTGCTATTAGAATTCTTAATTAAAATAGCTGTGGCCATTGTTCTTTTGCTTCTGGGTTCTAGTTACAAATTGCAGTGGAATTTTTCTGCTTTAGGTTTCTTTATCATAGTAATGTAAAAAAGGAGCAGTTATTAATGCTGGGAAAAATTGGAGCTGGAATATGGGCTTGCAGCTTTTGGTATCTGTTTAGTAGCACATTGAACCATTTCCCTAGCAGAAATGGTATATGTCTATATTTTTCCATGGCAACCAATTTTGACTAGGGAGTTCTCCACCCAGTGGATGGGTGGAGGAGGATCAGGTCTGTTTTCCTGTCCAGTCCTTTTAACTCCAACTCTCTTTGTCTGTAAGTCTCATCACCTTCCACCTTGGCAGGGTAGATTCCACTGGGATAGGGTGGGACACCTGAGGCTGGAATTCTCCCCGGAGTCCTTTGCACCACCGGACTTTGTGCAGATCTGCTTCTGATGCAGTTAACTGCCTACCTCCTGCAGTTTGTTAAACCTTGGTCTCTTGAACAATTTTGAGGAAAGCCTGTTGAATTAATAAAAATTGCCAAAGTATAAGGGGCAGCTTAGTGTAGTTACAAATGTGAATGCTTGGTAGCAGTAAAGTCGTGTCATGTGGACTTCTGTGTTTCTGGCTGCCTTTTATTTATAGGCATGTAGATACTATGAATCGATTAAGTTTACGTTTGTAAAAATAGTCTATACATCATGCCTTTGACTACCAAATGCTTTGAAAAGCATTAGTGCATATTGGTGATATAGTTCATATTGGTGATATATGTGTGGTTTTAAAAGGATGTTGATATAAACATTTTATTTATATAGAACATCAGTGCTTTGTGGTCTACTTTAGTGTATAACCATAATAGAGACAGATTGTGTTAATATATGGATACATCTGACTCCACAGAATAGACAGCTTGAAAATGTAAATGTCTCTTAGAAATACTGACATATGGCACCACATGTAGATAGGTTGAAGTTCTTGCATACATTTGAGTTTGCCGTGGGTCAGAATTGAATTTCTTAAGCTAAATCAGGCTCATCTGGGCAATTTAACCTACTTGTAGGACACACTTGTGATGCACTGCCTCAGCAAAACTGAAACAAGATTCTGGGCACTGTATGGTCCCCTGCAGCGTTTCAGCTTGGCTAAAATGTGGCCTAAACGCTGCTCAAGCCCTCGCCATTCACCTTCCTCATCCTTTTGGTAGGCAGCCATGTGCACAAGTTCACACATGGATATTAGGAATAATGAATGGCTTTTAATATGGCACCTGTTTCTGCAGGAGCTGACTTGGTGAAGTACCTCTTTTAGAGGTGGTAGAGCCGTGATGGCAAAGCTGTGCTTTGCATGAGAAAGACTAGGCTGTGCCTAGTCGCCAGCATATTCAGCTAAAAAGATGGGGAAAGTCGCTTGAGATACTGTAGAGCTTCTCCTTGTCAAAGCAGGCAGTACTGGACTAGATGAGCAAATCGTCCGAGCATGGATGAGGCAGTCGCCTGCGTCTGCACACATTCTTGTTAGATTTACTTCTGTAAGAGACATATCCTCTGTGAGAATAAAGCAAAACTGGTAATTTGATACAATAGTAAATGCCACATCATTATTAAAATGATGAATATTAATTAGGTTTTCAGTCATCATATTGATGTGTAATGTAGTGGTTAAGAGTGTGGGAATGGGACTCAGGCAGTCTGAGTCCTAGTCTGCTCAGCCATGGAACCAACTGCGTGACTCTGAGCCAGTCACAGACTCTCATCCCAACCTACTTCACAGGGTTGTTGTTGTGGGGACAATAGTGAGAGCAGGAGGAGGATAATTATGTAGGCCTCTTTGTGTTCTCTGTAAGAAAAACAGTGGAATAGAAATTTAATAAAATGATAACTACATCCTATTAAAATGTGTAGAAATGTTCTTATTATTTTCATTGATTAGATTTTTTTCCCGTTTCATACCGACCATTTAAGGAATGGTTAACTGAAAGGAAAGGATCTTAAATATTTAAGGTGCAAGTTTTATATAAGACACTGGAAAAAAACTTTATTTAGTATCAAAGTATTTGCTAGGGAGAAGTGGATATATATCAGGTTGGAAAAGTTATACTTCCTTTCAAATGATTTTTAAAGGAGCCCAGTGACAATGGACCACTCTTTACTGAATTAAGTTTCTACACGCGAGCTGCTAAACCAGAGCTAAGTAAGTAGTCTGCTCTTGACTTCTGATGTAACAAAACAATTTCGGTAATCCTTTCCAAATATTATAATGTGGAACACAGGAAGAGGTATAGTAATATATTGTTAAATGGTTCATGGGCAGCTAGAACAATAACACATAGAGGACTCTTAAATGGTGCTTTAAGGGCATTTTAATTATGTCTGGATGTTTCTTTATAATGGTGCAGTGTTGGATACTTATTGAAGGTAATTGTTTATAAACAGGGTCTACTGAACTGGAACACTTGCTCTTGTCCTTTTTATGCTAGAAGGTCACAGCCCATTGAGGCTGAAGCCACTAATTTGCAAGGGGAAAAGATGGCTATTTGAATGGGAAAAGTATAAACATTGTATTTAAATATTGTACTTGAATTGTGAAAGAGACAAGATGTCTTGGCTATCTTTTGCCTGTGCAGGATGCATTTGTTGCATTAAAATTGCTAAGAATGTAGAAAGAAATATACATGTGAATGCATAGATAATAGCAATGGTAAAATCTAGCCAAAGCAAGCATTTTAGGTCCTGTCAATTTCAGCAGGAAAGATTTTCACATGACCAGATCTACTGAGTCTTAAAAGTGCTACGTGTTTGGTAGGTTGAGTCCTTAGTGTCTTAGTAAGTATTTGTTTACTGTTCATTTATGTAAATCAACTTTCTGATTTACCAGTAATCAAATTCTTGCTTAAATATGACAATAATTGCTTTGCAGAAAACTGTAACTCTGCATATTTGGAAATTTTTATGCTTTCAGTTAAGAAATGGATTTCTTCTCACAAACTGAAATACTTAGGTGTACCAAAGTACTGGGGATCTGGCATGCATCAAAAGAATGGCAAAAGGTACAAACCAGTTATTATTTTAGAATGTATAGTTTCGTAGTTGCGTTTCTGAGCAGTAGGTGTTTCACAAACCATAAGCAGCTTCTTAAAATTCATCTTGGCAGATATCATTAAGGGATAGCCTTTGGCATTGCATTGACACTTGTACTAAAAAGTTTATCATTGTGAAAATATCAGGGCATAGTATATTGCCACCTGAACAAATATCTCTACCAATACAATTTCAGCTCTAAACCTGTGGTTCAAGTTCAGAGGTGTTCATGAAACTTGAGTATCCTTCCAATGCATTCCAGATTGCCCTAATTTTAGTCTCTGGCTTTTGTTCACAGTGTGTATTAGAATAACTGCCCATATTCTTTTGTAGTGACATTTAATGATATTTTGAAATATTATCTAGTTGGAGGAAAGCAATAAAATCCAAAATAATATGTAAAAAGTATAGGTGTGAATTCAGTGGCCACCGAAATATAGCAGCAGATCCACAGTATTGTAGGGCTGCCTTTTTGTGTGTGTGTGTGTGTGGTGGTGGTGGTGGTAGGAACGGCCAGTGTCATTATAAGCTACTTATAAGCAACTGGAGAAAGGATTGGCATGTGCTTGTAGCTTTACAGCCTTGCTTACTAGAATTACATTTTTGGTGTGGGACTACATTATTTAAAGAACAGGTGATCCTTAAACTCTTCAGGTAAGATCCTGCTCGGTGTCCCATTGCCATCTTAAGTATGGCTGGTACTTCAGAATTGCACATGTGATCTTGCCCAGACATAGCAGCATCTTCGCTCAGGAGGCACGTCTGGTCACTTCCCTGTTAATCTTTAAAAATGTACTGAAGAACTTGTTCCAATGGGCCATGAGCGTGAATTGAATTGTTCTCCAGTGTTTTATTGCTTGTATAATTTAAATAGGCATAAAAATTGAGAAAACATACTTTGAATGTTGCTACTGCTCTTAAGTGTATATTCTCTTGTTTATTGTTTTCAGTGTCTTTTTGCCAAACAGCTACTTACACTTTTTAAAATAAATGGATAATATAAATTCTCTCTCTGTGTGAATGTCCTTAAAGTCTCTTTATTTTGAAATTAGCTATAGATTTATGGTGATGGACAGATTTGGGAAAGATCTTCAGAAGGTTTTTGAAGAGCAAGGAAAGCAGTTTACACGCAAAACAGTATTACAGTTGGGCTTGAGAATAGTAAGTTAAACATACAGTATTTTTAATGCAACCAAATGTAATCATGGCTTTAAAGTTAGTCTGTAATGGATACAGGCCCCCTGCTGGGTGGGGTTGAGCATTTTTTGATGACGTTATCCTATATTGAGCTTTTTTTAGCTTGATGTTTTAGAATATGTTCATGAACATGAATATGTGCATGGAGACATCAAAGCCTCGAATCTTCTCCTGGGTTACAAGGCTCCACATCAGGTAACTTCCAGCGTTTTCTTCCTTCAGTGTTTAACCTATTGTTTTTAAGAAAATGGAGCTGCTGTGAACCTCAGCAGAAATCTTGCCTTTATGAATGTGTACAGCATTAATATTTCTGCTTGACATTTATATCTAGTTAATGTTGTACATTTTTTATTCACTTTGCTGGCAGTTGATCAAATTGGCTATTCTGCCCTGAATAATATTCAGGAGAATGCTTGCGATACAAAACGAATTTCAAATAGCTATTTGGGGGTGGAAGTTTAAAATTATATAGTACACCAGTGAATTACGTTTGCCTGTCTGCTTTGTCAATTTTTTATTTCCTTTGTTTGAAGACTCCATCAAGCATAAGTGTTCTGTTACTTGGAAAACCTGATTTTTTTACATGTTGATTATTTAAATCAATTGGTTTACAGAAATATCTGTAGCTGTCTAATTTTATTATTATTATTATTTTACATCTTTAGTGTTTGGCAAATGCATATACGAAGTCCATAATTTTCCACTGTTCTTGGAGTGAATAAGCAAATACTAGTACTTTCGAAGTTGCAAAACTAGCTTTGCAAATGGATTCATCAAATGTACTAGTCCACAAAAAGTTTTTTGCTTTGCTACTCATATGTGTACAGAATTAGTATACCAGCCTTCTCTTAAATGCGAGAAAAGGCAAGGCAAGGTCTTTCTCTTTGTCTAGAGGACTAAGAGTCATTGGACAGTTGTATCACTTAAAACCAAGTATATAAAACTTTAACTCATGTAATTTGGTCTTTCTGTAATGGAACACAAATGCTTCTTTTCTAATGAGCCAGCATAAGAATGACAAAGGGTGATGAAAGAAGCCCCCTTCCTGCTGTTTAATCCAAGAATGGACAGAAGGTAGATCTTCATATGTTCCTGATGTCAGCCTTCAGAAGCTTCTCTGAGCTTGGCCTGTGGTCAGAAATGCTGGGAGTTGAAGACCAAAATATTTGGAGAGCTACCTTCTGCTCACTCCTAGTTCAACCCATCATACCAGCTTCTGGAATTGGCCTTTTTTGAATTGTTTGTGCCTTTGTAATTTTGGAATCTACTATGTGCGTTCCTGTCAACTCACAGTAAGGCTCAGGTGCTTTGTGAGGCAATATAGTGCGACAGTGACACACGCGTTGGTGACTTCCCGTCTTGACTTCTGTAACGCGCTCTACGTGGGGCTGCCCTTGAAGACGGCCAGGATAGTTCAGTTGGTTCAAAATAGAGCTGCCAGGCTGCTGACGGGGACTGGGCATTATGTTCACATGACTCCAGTTCTCCATCAGCTTCACTAGCTCCCCATTGAAGTCCGGGCCCAATTCAAGGTGTTGGTTATGACCTATAAAGCCCTTAATGGCTTGGGTCCTGTTTACCTAAAGGAGCGCTTACGTCCATATGTGCCCACCTGCCCCTTGAGATCAGCGGGAGAGGCCTTTCTCCGGGAACCCTCCGTGAAGGATATTAGGAGGGTATGTACTCGGAGGAGGGCGTTCTCTGCAGTGGCGCCCAATCTATGGAAAGTGCTCCCCAGAGAGGTCCGCCTGGCACCATCATTATTTGTTTTTTGACGCCAGGCGAAGACCTTTTTATTTAAATGCTATTTTAATTGTTAATATTATTTATTTATTTTTATGGCCAGGATGTTTCCAATTATATTGTTTTATATTGTTATTATTTATTTATTGTTGTAAGCCGCCTCGAGGCTTCAGCGAATGGGGCGGCATAGAAGCTTTCTAAATAAATAAATAAAATAAATACAGAACTAGGATAAGATGGCGCATCTTTACTGATCCCTAGCTCTCCCTCTGCATTTGGGCCTCAAAGACAAGGGAAGAAATTGTGGGTGAATAGAGAGTAAGCTAGAAATAAACAAGCACAGTTTATGACGTGCAACGTTAGCACTAATTACAGAGCATGTCTGTTTTGAGATTAGCCTTCACTTCATTTTCCCAGCTTTGTGGAACTTGAATCAACATTAGATTGTATTAACTAGCAGGTTTGTGTTTTGGAAAAAAAATCATGACACTGTTGGCAATCCCACCCTCTCCCCAGTGTATTAGCATCTGCTTTCCTACATGGCTGAATCTATATGATGAGTGATGAATGCTTACCCAGCATGGCTGACTAGGGCATGCTGGGAATTATAGGACTTTTTCTGTCTAACTTTCCCTAGGATTTATTTATTTAGGTTTGTATTTATTTATTTATGTATTTATTATTTTATTTATAAAATTTGTATGCCATCCAATTACAAACGTCTCTGGACGGCTAACAGCATAAATAAATTGACGACCCACTCTGGCTGCAATTAATAAAATACAATACTACAATTCAATATTAAAACTTATTAAAATATTGATTAAATAAAAAGGTCTTAACCTGACGCCGAAAAACATATAATGGTGAGAGCGCATTCCATAGACGGGGCGCCACCTCAGAGAAGGCCCTCCTCTGGGTACTCTGTCTCCTAATGTCTTTCACAGAGGGTTCCTGGAGGAGGGCTTCTGTTGCTGATCTCGGGGCGGGAGGGCAAATAGGGAAAAGGCGTTCCTTAAGGTATCCTGGTCCCAAGCTGTTTAGGGTTTTATAGGTAATAACAAGCTCCTTGAATTGAGCCCGGACTTTGATGGGACGCCAGTGGAGCTGATAGAGGACTGGGGTTATATGAGAATAACACCCAGTCCCCAACAGCATCCTTGCAGCTCTATTTTGAACCATCTGAAGTATCTGGACTGTCTTCAAGGGCAGCCCCACGTAAAGTGCATTACAGAAATCCAACCAGGAAGTAACCAGTGCTTGTGTTACTGTTGCTAGGCAATCTCTCCAGGTAGGGACGCAGCTGATAGATTAGCCAAAGCTGAAGGAAAGCGCTCCTCGCCACTGCTGTCACTTGAGCTTCCAAGGACAGCTCCAGGTCGAGGAGCACTCCCAAGCTGCGGACCCTGTCCTTTAGAGGGAGTGCAACCCCGTCCAGGGCAAGTCCCAAGTCATCTACCCAGGAGCTTGAATCACCCACCAACAGAACCTCCGTCTTATCTGGATTGAGTTTCAGTTTATTGGCCCTCATCCAGCCCATTACCTCGGCCAGGCACCGGTTCAGTACAGCCACTATCTCACCTGGGTTAGTTGAAAAAGAGAGGTAGAGCTGGGTGTCATTAGCATACTGATTACTCCGCAGCCCAAACTTCCTGATGACCTCTCCTAGTGGTTTCATATAGATATTAAATAGCAAGGGGGACAAAATGGAACCCTGTGGTACTCCATGGCATAGCTGCCATGGCAGAGAGCCAAAGTCCCCCCGCACCAGCTTCTGGAATCGGCCTTCAAGGTAGGAGTGAAACCACTGCCAAGCAGTGCCTCCTACTCCCAACCCCGCCAGCCTATTCAGGAGGATACCATGGTCGATGGTATCGAAAGCCGCTGAGAGGTCCAGGGGAACCAACAGGGACGCACTCCCCTGTCTCTCTCCCTGCACAGATCATTGTACAGGGTGACCAAGGCAGATTCAGTACCATACCCGGGTCTGAAGCCAGACTGAAATGGGTCCAGATATTCAGTTTCATCCAAGAGTACTTGGAGTTGTCCTGCCACCACCCATTCCAACACCTTGCCCAAAAACGGGATGTTGGCCACCGGTCTATAATTGGCAGCCATCTCTGGATCCAGAGACGCCTTCTTTAGGACAGGCCTGATTACTGCCTCCTTTAAAGGAGCGGGCACCTGGCCGTCCCTCAGAGAGGCTTTAATAACCTCCAGGATCCAGGAACCAATCCCGTGTTTGGCTTTGGTCAGCAGCCAGGAAGGGCAAGGGGTGTACTTGTCCAAGCACCTTGTCCACATCATCCATTAATACTTGACCAGACGGCGTCATTGGTGTCTCCCCTAAGGGATCTGAATCAATTGTGGAGTCCAGCTCGTGATGAATCTGAGTGATTTTCTCCTTGAAGTGCTGGGCAAAGTCGTTACATTGGCCCATCGATGGTGGTACAGGATCTTTCTTAAGGCTGGGGTATATCAGCCCATGTAGCACTCGAAAAAGCTCCACTGGACAGCACTGTGAGGAGGCAATGGAAGTGGAGAAGAATTTCTTCTTCGCCGCCCTCACCCCTACAGCATAGACTTGATAATGAGCACGCAAGTGTGTTCGGTCAGATTCATCCCGTGATTTCCTCCACCTACGCTCTAGTTGTCTCCCAACCTGCTTCATCTCCTGTAATTCAGATGTATACCATGGAGATGGACGGGCTCTGCTTGGCAGGAGAGGACGCTTAGGGGTGATTGTGTCAATGGCTCTGGCCATTTCCCCATTCCACAGTTCAATCAGAGCATCAACAGGAGTGCCACAACCAGAAAATCTCCCAGAACCCTCAGGAATTTATCCAGATCCATCCAGCTCTGAGGGCGGACCATCACAATAGGGTCCGCACCCTTACAGAGGGAAAGGCCAGCTCCGAGCTCAGACCTCACGAGGAAGTGATCTGACCATGACAGGGGAGTCAGATGCAGATTATACTGTCCCCCCCCCCCCCCCCGCGCCAAAAGGATCCCTGGATGGTTTACAGTATTAAAATATATACCAACATCAGTAATATACACAATCACAAAGATAATACATCAGATAAAAACTTTATACTCACCACAAACTCAGCACCTGCAACCAGATCATTTCAGAGGCATAGTCACAATGTCAAATAAAATAACAGTGCAAGATAAAATACAATGTAAAATATGGATAAAAATTCTAACTGTTAAATTATTAGGTAAATAAAAAGGTTTTTATCTGGTTCTGAAAGGAATAGAATGGGTATCAGGTGCAGCTCTTTGGAGGGCTGGTTGCATAGCCTGGGTGCCGCAACTGAAAAGGATTGTTCTCTGATTTTATTTGAAGATACACACTCAACATTTTTTAGGTGTATGCCTCAAATGACAAATAGAGGGAATCATGTTTGCTAATTAGAAGAAATAAAAAAGTAACAGTTGGGTGATTTATTATAATTAACCAAAGGTTGCAGACTAGGGGGGCACTTTGGAGTTAGCCAGTCCAGAAGGCTTCATTGTGCTGAATTACAACAAGAAGTAGTTATTAGATCCCTTCCTGCAGTTTATACTGAAACTTGTGCATGACAAATGCAGTTGTGAAAACTAGACAGCAATTTGCAGTTACTAGTCAGCTCCATTGATGACATACAAATGAGACTGGAAAGAACAGGGATGCAGGCTTGTGCTGGTGAAAAGATTTAATCAGGGACTTGGACTCACCAATTGCTCAGCTGGAAAGATCCTTCTAGCTCCATAGTGGTTCTTTTCAGATTTGAAATGAACAAAGTGTGTAACATTTTGCTATACTGTTCTTTAAAAACTAATATTCAGTTACTCTTCAAAGAGATATAGTTGGCAAACAGACTTGGTGTTTTCCTTAATGAAAACCAAATACCTCCTCATGTGTAGTATCATATCTAATAATGTGATGCTTTGTTCTTAAATATTGGACTACATGGAATGGTTATTCTATAGATATGAGAATGGTTTTTTTTTAGTTTTTTTTTAGGGTGTCTTTAAAAATTGTATAATTTCTGAGAATAAGAATTCTTAAGTATTGTGCAATTAAAAAATGTTAATTTACTTATTTTTTAATTCTTGGTTGAAATGGATTCTGATGCAGTTGGTGTCTTAATAGGTGTACTTGGTGGATTATGGCCTTGCATATCGATACTGTCCGGAAGGCATTCACAAGGAGTATAAAGAAAATCCCAAACGGTGTCATGATGGAACCCTTGAATTTACTAGTATTGATGCACACAAGGGGGTGGGTAAGTAATTGTTCTGCTTCTTGCATGATGTTCTTTGCATTTAGTCATGCCAACCATGTTAAAATCCTCATTTAAGTAGCTTGCTGACATCTGGATATGGATTCTCTTTCTTGGTCAGTGTAAACAAAGCCAAATTCTAGGACTTACCATTATCTTGTCAAACCTATAAAATAGATATTTAAACACTGTAAAATGTGACCAGGTCCCAAGGAATATGTGTGTAGACATGAAGCCTTCAGAGAAAGCTGCCTTCCAATGTTGGTTTGTCTAACTCAATATCGGCTGCCCAGTGGCTCTCCAGAGTTTCAGAAAGGAGTCTTCCCTATCCCTGTTTAGGGATGCTGAAGATTGAGCTTGGGACCTTCTGCATGCAAAGCATTTGCTCTGCTACTAAACTTGATTCCCCATGCCCTTTAGTTTCACTAGAGTTTTGCTATTCTTTTTTCTCTGCATCATTCCTTGCTACAGAAGAGACCATCTTTCGTTAAAACAAAAAACTTAAACGTACATAGAGTTTTGTCTCTCTTCCGCCTGGTGGGAACCGCTGTAGAGAAGAACTAAAGGTCTGACTGCATGAGTGCTTCCTATCCACACATGCACAAAGGCACATCTGTTGCCTTCCAGGACGAGAGATATTTTTTCAGTGTAGGCCCAGTATTTGGCCAAATTCTGAGACTGTAATGCCATGCTCAGTTCAGTAACTCTGAGACTAATGGTAACAATAGGTAGTGAGTCAGCCCATCAAGAATTATGATGTAATATACTGTGCCCCAAAATAGATATAACTGACTCTTACAAGCTTTCTAGGACCAGGATCTGGAGAATGTTGCAGCTGGCTCAGTGCACTCCAAGGGAGTTCGTGCTTCTCTTAGTAAAACTGGAGCTCTCTCTCCCATCTTGATTCTGAGGCAATTTGTGGTATGGCATGGGTCTTGCCGTCCTAAGAAGGACAGTTAAACCCTTGGGTGCCCTTAAAGTAGTTGTTTGGATCTCAGCCATCATTAGGTCTGACCCCACTTAGAAACCTCATTCATTACACACCTCTTCCAGCCAGGCTTAACTGCAGCCTGGGATTCTCCATCCCACACTTCCCTTTTCACTTATGGCAGCCATGATCCACACATTGGAGACCTTGGGGAAAGCGTTTATACACCAGTGACATTATGCAGAATGTTCATCCCTCTGGTGTTCCATGCACTGTGGTATTATGTTAATGGATCCTTTTACAGCTTTAAGGAAATGTTTTAAAGTTGACAAGCTTCAACTTCATTGTGAACGTAAGACACTGTTTTGTTTGCAGCTCCATCAAGACGTGGTGATTTGGAAATTTTAGGTTATTGCATGATATGCTGGCTTAGTGGCAAGCTGCCTTGGGAAGAGAGCCTGAAAGATCCTGAGTGTGTCAAAGCCTCAAAAATCAAGTAAATGTCTATTTTAATAATATTAACAAACAAGCCTGGTGTATAGAAAAACAGCTCAACAGCCTTCACCTGTGTATCAAAAATGTTGCTCAAGTATATAGCCAGGCAGACCCAGTAGAACAGAGAGTATGCTATTTTCTAAGACTAACTTCATTGGATGGAAAAAAGCATTTAAAACATGCAATCATGTTTGTCAGAAAACTAGTGAACAGTTGAACATAGAAAAAACAAAAAAGTGTAAATATTGATCAAGTTGCCTCCCCCCGCCCCCCATTGTATCATCTTGCCACAGTGTCTTGACATGGGCGGAATTATCATAGTTCATCAATGCCATGCTCAGATCTGTTGGCAGATGAGCTGTGCTGACACCAGATCATCATCAGTACTGTGTTCCACCAACTGCTCAAAACATACTATCTGAACATGGCCCTACCTTTCTTAAACTACTATGCAACTTTGCCCACATATGCACTGCTGAGCTCGATGTTAGTGTAATCTTATTTTATCTGTCAGTTCTGCTTGAAAGTTCCTATTCCCCTTTCCCAGCACAAGTTAGTTCAGTTAAAGGCACTGACTTTCCTGCCTGATAAATGTACATGGTTTTCTGGGAATTTCATGATATACTAACACATCCATCAAAATATTATAATACAATAATATTTCCATTCATCCAGGGCTTGGGTTGTCTGAATATTTTGAGCCCATATTACTAAATGCGATTGTACTAAAGTAGAGAATGAAAGATTTTGTTCAGGAGTGAAATACAATTTTAAAATTTAACAGATTGGCCTTATTTTTGTTCTCATGACTGTGTGTAAAGTTTAAAGAGATCAAAATTCAGAACCCCCTGCCTCCCAATTGTGGATCTGTTAAATATAACTTTTTGCTTTCCTTTTTTGTCAGGTATACTGATGATATTGCAGCATTGATGGATGAATGTTTCCCTGAAAAAAATAAACCGGGTAGGAAGTTTTAGATTTAATACTAGCCCATAATATATTTTAATAATTTATTTTTAAGAGTTATTTAGAAAAACATACATTGAAGAAGAAGAAGAAGAATGTCCATTTGTATATCACGTGTAGCTGTCTGTTTAGTTTCAGAAAATTTCTTTTGAGGGGTGCTGTCATGTATTTCCCAAGCATAGTTAAGATGATCCTTCAATAAGTTGCCAAATATGTGTGTGATATATATGTGATATCCAACATTGTGTGAGCAGTCCTTTAATGCAGTGTGAATTCTGCTCCAATTCCTCTGTCCTATACTCCCTGTGTGCTTGTCCAGATCTGCTTCAGAGAGTCCCCCAATCTTCTACAGCAGTTTTTGGGGACATAGGGGTGCTTATAAGGCAGAGGAGGTCTGCTGGCAGATGGATCTTGCTAGGAGTCACTCCGTGTAGTAGCATTTTTTCTGCTTCAAAGAATGTACATACAGTTTAGATTCTGATAACGTTGGAAGATGAGGAAAATAAACTATCCAGGAAATCTGGTTTTTTTTTCAGCATAGAGGACAATATTCACAGCCATTGAGAGTTCTCATTGATTGCAATAGTATCTGAATTATATTCAGATTTTCTGATCCTAGCAGACCTTGAAACAGAGATGACTTTCAGATTATAGGGTTCAGTTGCTTGAGTGATTCCTAATGTGTATATTTGTGTCAGAAAACAAAATGAACATATAATGTCTAAAACACTAGACAATTAAGAATAAAGAAATACAAATATTTCAGAATGAGCTTGGCCTGGAAACCATAATTGACCAGCGCAGGTCTTTACTGCCTTAGTTAGGTCTAGTCAAGAAAATATTTGGTGGATTGACTCTCTTGTCCTTCTGTAAGTAGCCCACCAAAAAGCCTTTCCCAAAGGTTGAGGGATCTTGTTTAATGTGGTGTCCTTAGGAGCAAGGGAAGAAATCACTGAAAATTCTATGAAAGCACTTTCCAGCCCCCTTCCCCCTCAGCCGCCTGTACCACACCACAGATCATTCAGTAGACTTCCCTAGATGTACCCCCCACGATTCAGGGAGAGGCTTTTTGGCAGGTCATCCTTGGAGGGAAGGGGCAGAAAAAGTCTCCATCCCTGCCCCCTTTCTAGTGTCTTGATATAGTTATTTGAAGCAGATCACTCCTCTTCCAGAAGCAAGGCTACTTTTGTCAGCAAAAGAGGCCAACCATCTGAAAGTTCTAAGCATCTTAAGGGAGATTTGCTTGCAATCCTTCCTTAATAAAATATTGAGAATTCATGCAAGCTTTGTAGCTGTTTCTTGATGTTTTATGAGTTGAGGTAGAACTCAGTCTGACTTTTGATGGTTTCTTTCAGATGAAATTGCCAGGTATATGGACACAGTGATGGCTTTGGCCTACACTCAAAAACCACCATACCAGCAGTTACGAGAAATACTTCTTCAGGGTCTCAAGGACATTGGTCAGAAGGATGATGGTATATTGGACTTCGGCGTTTCAGAGAATGGAGATGTTCCAACAAAGCCAGCACTTAAGGTCTTTATTTCTTAATTCAGATCCGTATTTAATGTCTCTTGTTTTCAGCTGAAAGGGAAACTATCATTGGAAATGGATTTCACGTAGGCAAAATCAAAATCGGAAGGGGAAAGAGAACAAATGTACACTTGAGACTTGGCCATATTTCATGAGCACATGACTTACTCAATCTTATTGTCTTTGGCCTGAATCCAAAGAGCTACTTCAGGCATGTCCAAGAGCTTGCACACATCCCATGGGAGTCTTTTTTTCTATAATGGGGACCTCTGTGCCATAGCAGAAACTGCTTTTGAAACACTGCTAGGCTCGGCGTAGGAGGGCAAAGTGGAAGAAGAACACACCATATTCCCCTGGGGAGAGAAGTTAAAACTAGGTATACAGGGTCTTTGGATTCTGGGCAGTATCTCTCCTGAAAGCTTTTTAAAAGTATGGGGCTGTTTGAACAGAATAACTCTTCAGTTTAAAACTGATGGGTGGTCCACCACTTTACCAGACTACCCATAATTGACTCCTCCATAGGTTGTGCTGCTCGATAGGAAAACCTTCACCTCATGGTTTTCAAGGACGAAACAATCTGGTAGTTAATATAGCAACAAATCATGGGTACTGGTGCACCCCACATATATTTAAATGCTTTTGTCATTAAACTAGTATAAATAGTGATCTGAGTGCCTGTAGTTCAAAGGTAATTTCTGCCTAGAAATGTGTAAGAAAGACTAGGTGTATATGAGAGAAAGATGCTAGTATCTAGGAAACTTTTGTGCAAAAACACACTTGGTAGCTTTCATTATTTAGAGGTAGACATAAGATATATTTATTGACCTAGGTGTGAGTAAATGACATTATTTATTATCCTAGTAAAGTTTATTTGAAAGCTAGAATGAGAAGGGTGCTGCCTGTACATAAGGGAAGAAATCCCATATTTGTCATTGGAAAATTAAATGTATTTTATGGTGAAGATTTGTCAGCTGGAAGCCTAGTCTACAGTGTTGATTAGCAAACTTGAAATTAATAAATTGGGCCTGATAAGCTGACACATGTGGTCTCTGTGTGAGAAAATTGGAGCTCCTTACCCCTTTGGTTAAACTATAATTTAATGTTGAAAGTGAAGTAAAAAGAGGATAGTTAAGAGGAACTGGCAGTGTGTTTACAATAGCATATTGCTACAAGAGCCTCTTTATCTGAAAGTGTCAATTTCCTATAGAGTTCTAAAGTTTTGTTAGCTACAGGTTGTGTTCTGGCTATAGTAGAAGGGTAGAATACCAGTCTGCTTAACTAAATACTTGGTGTGTCTGACTTCATGTTTGTTTCAGTGTAAAGTGATGCAGTTGTTCTCATGTTGAGTCAGGCTTTATTTTCCAAATGCCCACATTCATAAGAATTCATTTTGCTGGTGACCTTTTCCCACCTGTTGATTTTCTTTTGTTTTAATGAACTAGTTGTTAGCCAGTAAATGTTGACAGTTAAAGCTATATGTTGCTGAATAATTGATCTTGTTTCTCAGTCAATATAGTTGGGGCCAGGATGTTCATCTTTCCCTTCAAAGGCCTTGAAATACAGGGGGTGATCATATGTTTCCCCTCTTGACTAATGGGGGAAATTGGATCATGGAAAATAATCTCCAAAAGCCTTCCCTAAATCAAGAGATATACATAGTCTTAAACAATGTTCTTGGCCCTGAGCATTTTTCAAAAAGAAGTGCTCTGATTTACAGTCCTGTTAAAAATCCACACTTTAGTTAATTGAACCAATTAATCTATTAATGCACTCAGCTCTTTTCTCTATAGAATTTTTCAGTTGGTTTATCTTGGCATTTAACTTGGTGGGAACCCTGAATCCAATCAGCATTTACTTGTTTGCCATGATAAACTTATCCAGGGTTTTAAAAAATGTGCATGCAATGGAGTAGAAAACTTTTGTAATATGGTGTTCAAGGTGCTGGACTAGGGAACAAGGGTTCAGATTTTTACTTGGCCATGAAGCTTACTTGGGTACCTTTGAACCAGTTGGTATATTTCAGTATAAGATACCTCATGCAAGAGATCGTGAGGATGAAATTGTTGTGAGAGGGAAATTATTTATCCTGCCAGGAACTCCTTGGAGGAAAAGGGCAATATAGATGTAATGAATAAAAACTTTCTTCGGTGTAAATGCTTGGTACCTCATAGCAGCTGTGGGTAATGAACTGAGATCCATCTCCAGAAGACTGTTCTAATCTAGAGTTTACCATATTATGGATCACTGGGGTCAGCCTAGCTCTATCTAGGTAGAGTTGCAGCTGCTGCACCAGCTACCAGCAGGACCTCTGTTTTGACTGAATTAAGCCAATTTTGTTTAGCCCTCATCTTTTTGTTTGTTTGTTAATACTAGTATAATTGATATTAATTTCATTTCTACAGCACCCAACTGGCAAAGCTCTTTGGGCGGTTCACAACAGTTAATGCATTGAACCACTAGTTTGGTGCCATCACTGCCTCATCTGAATTGGATGAAAAACAGAAATAGAGAAGGGTGTCTTCTCTGCAGTTGTACAGTACCTCACTCAGTGGTTTCATGTAATGTTGAAAAGCATGGAGGATATGATAACCATCTGTGAGCCCTGGAGTAGGGAGCTGAACAGTACCACAGCAGCAGTTTCTGTGAGTGGCCATCTAAATGATAATAAAAGCACATCAACACACTGGCCCTGTTCTCATAGCATGAAGATGAACGAAGAATGAAGCACGGTAGCTTGTTGATCACCCTGATGTCATGTGACCCCTTGTGAATACCTGTAGTCCTTAACCCAGAGAATGTGTCTAGAAGTATACCATGGTTGATGGCTTTAAAAGCCTCCGATTGGTCCAGGAGAAGCAACGGAATGCAGTAACTTAGGCTAAATATACCCTTTGTGCATGCTTTCTGGATGGATAATGACTGCAAAACTGAAAGCTGTAGTTGGTTTGCATTTTTTAAAAAGCTGTTCATTAACATAGCTTGAATATTTTTCTTTTTGAATAAGACAAAAGCAAGCCCACAGCTGCTGGCTGTGTTACTATCTGATACACTGATACTTTACAGTGACTTACAAATGAAACATTTTCTTTTAAAAATGATGCAGTTTTGCATTTTAGCTTTCCTTGTTCCTTTGATGTTGAAGATCTATGATACGCGCATATTTAACATGCAGCCCTGCCTTCATAAGTACTCAAATCTGTTTTTCAATTGACAACTTGAACTCTAACAGAGTCTGCTGGTCACATGAATGGTTCTTTAACATCCCATGATTCCTGCAGACTTAGTTGCCCATATTCATTTTACATTATTGGTTCCACTGACTGATTCATGACTGATGTAAAATAGATAGGATGCCAGCAAAGGACAAAATATGATGGAGACCATCAGTACTTAGTCCAGCTTCCAGCTTGATAGACTACAGTTGGGATTTTGCATGCAGCTTAACACTGATGTTTCTAGTTATTCTATTTGCCTGGAAAGTAGACATCTCGGGGGGGGGGGGACTTCATTAAGGAAAGAATCATGGACTTCTGGGTAAAACTTGGCATTATCCATTTCAGCAGTGATATAGATGGGAAACCTTATTGTATGATTCTATTATAACTATAACAGTACTATTTTAACAATGATCAACGACTTGGTCTAATATTTGTAGTAGGAGAAGAACTACTGGAGTGCTTGGTATACCATAATGTTTATGCAGCAACAGGAATTTAGTGTCTTGTTTAAAAACAATCCAGTCTAATAAAGACTTAAATCTGTCCTGGGACCTCACAGACTCCTCCCCAGCTTGTTAACATATTTCCCCTTCTCTATTAGAGAAGTTTCTCCGCCAATTTTGGAACATACCGTGGTTAAGCAGCACTTATGTGTTACCATTTTATTTATTTATTTATTTATTTTTGCTAACAATGATCTTGGAACCATGGCTGCATCTGAGGAGGAGGAGGAAGATCTGAATTTATGGGGCACTCCCAGTCTAATGTTGGGTAGGAGATAACATGGGCTTTCATATTCATTGAACCTCATGTAACCCATCCCCTCTTCTTAAAATTCAATTCTCAGAGAAGACATTTCCTATATAAATAGCTGACTTTCACTGTTTTGTTTTAATGCTGTGATCCTATGTATGCTTATTTGGGAATAAGCTACATTAATCATGTACTTTGAGTAAACCTGCACTAGACTTCACATTAAGTGTATCAGCTTAAATTTAAATTGCTGACCAGGTTTCTTTTCCAAGATGATCTTTAATCCGGAGTGTGCCAGTCAGTATTCGATATATCAGAATGGCAGGTATTGTGAAATAACAGCAACAGCTGTTGCCCACCTTAATTGAAATTCTTTCACACTAGGAGATCTACATCTTCTCTACTATAAATTTTAAGTGATGCTAGTTCTGAGATGTATTAATGAGACATTGTTCCCAACTTGGCTTGAATCTAATTCACTTTCATATGTAATGGATGATGTTACTCTAATATTTGCATGGGTTCAGTTAGCTCCTGTCGAAAGAGAAGTTATCCTCATTGCATTGCAGTGAAAGCATCCATTATTGCTGCTGTAAACTACTCAAGCCACAGGACATGTCTTATGTTTGGTGATGAGCCCATTGATGGCACTCGATAACTGCTAGGAAATATTTGGAGTGAAATAAATATGAATTAGTGATTCATAGTTTGCCTCGCACTCTGCATCAGACATGGGTGTTGTCTCTGTCAGGGAATGATGCCTGACTTCTCTTGCCATGTAACCCACCTGCATCAAGATTAAGAAAGTGCTTTTATTGAATAAGCTTAGAAACAAGATAAATATCCTTTTGCTTTCTGTGTGGAAAGTATTTGATGTCTGCTTTTGCAGTGAGCCTTTTAAAAATCTTCCTTCAGTTCAACCAGGATGAATGCATTTATATCCTGTATATAAAAGCAATATAGTGGTGAAATATTCCTCCTTAATTTTGGTCAGAATGAACAAAAGTGTCCGTGTTTATTCCTGCCTAATGCATCACAAATCTGCTGACATGCTAACCTTGGAGTCTTGGTTGGCGTTAATCAGGCCTGTGCACCGGCAGGAAAGATGTACCTAATGCACTCCATCAGTGCAGTTTGCATATGGAAGTTCTCACAGGGGAGCTGCCCTGTGCCAGCTGAGGGTTACCTGCCCACTGCAGTTATTGTATGTAATTATCGAACCAATCTGTTCAGCCCAGCAGGGTTTAGATGGTAATCATGAAGCAACACTTTGGAAAGATGTAATGCACTCTCCCCTTCCCTTGTCAGCTATGTGAGGTTGTAACCACTTCAGCAGCTATTTCAGTAAAGCTGCACGTTTGTCAAACTTACCAAAAAAAGCGTGCTAAACTTTAGTAGTTATTTTTAAGCTTATGGACTACGATGTGTTTGTGTCTGGCAAAACACACTGGCTTGTCAACATTCATTGCAAAAAAAAAAAAAAGGGGGGAGCACACACATACTTCCAGTTTATTTTAAAATATTTTTGTCTGCTTTGCTTTTTTAAGAATATGTATAACCTGCTGAACTTTGGTTGAGAAGCAGTTCTTGCTGTAGGGAGGGAAGAATAATGGGATGCTGTATTCTAGCTGTACAAATGCAGCATTTGAGTAAGAGGATACAAACAAATTCCTACAGCCACACCATCTAAAATAAAAACAAAGTCAAGTGACAATCAGTACTTTCTTAATTTTCTTCCTTTCTGATTGGAATTCGCCTTTCTGAATTGTGTGTGCCTTTGTAATTTTTAAATCCGTTATGTGCATTCTTTAAAATGCAATGGTTTGGTTGGTAGTAACTGGGGCCTAGGTAAAAATGTGGTGGCCAAGGTCGAGGTGAAGGTGGGAAAGGGGCCACACAGGCGAGGTGGCTGCATGAAAGGCAGCATGGTGGTCTCAGGCTGTTGCCTTCTGTACTCCTGCCTTGCCTGAGCCAGCCTTCCTAAAATGCTGCTCCCTCAGCTGATACAGGGGAAGGTCATATCTGTCTGCAGTTCATGACATTTTCGCAGGTTTTAACTTGCTATTCCATTCTGTTTCTGCATCATTTTGCACCCAGATGTGCCCTTTCTTTCAAAACTTGCAGCATACGTTGATGTGTTTAAACTGGATGATATCCAACAGGGGGCCACTTCATTTCCTTTGGTTCAGTTGCAAAGGCAGGAATGGCCACTTGTGTAATGGGTCTTTCGCTCTTCTTACAAGATTCGTTTAAATAACCCCATAAACAAACCAGGAATAAACCTTTTTGAAAGTTCCGCTGATCTGCTCCATTGCTGACATGTTTGGGTTATTTTTAGAGGTGCAGAAGCCCCTTCGCACAAGCAGTTGCTCCTGAGAAGAATACACAGGCTTGGTAGGATACTATCCATGGTCTAGATCTGCACTGCAACATTTGGACAAGTGTGCAATCTGGTGTATTGCTAAATTCCAGCATGCACCCAAGTCTAAGAGCACAGATCAGGTCATTTTGTGTAGACTTTGCAAAGATTAGATTCCTCACAGTTTCTTCACTGATACTGCTGGCATGCTGTACATGTTTTTCTGCAGTTGTGAAAGACTGCAATTTGAACATGATTTTCAAACTAAAAGTTCAAGTACTCTGAGAATCCGGAAAGCACATGCTGGAGTTCATTCACGGGGGAGCATTCTTATGCAACTTGCATGCACTTTAATACTTATGCATTTGGTAAATTGTATATGATTAGCCACTGTGGATTAGTGATTAGATTGCTCAAAAGGGACTTAGGAGATCCAGGTCCTAAGTCCCTACTTGGCCATGAAGTTCATTAGTTGACTTTGGGCCAGTCAGAGACTCTCAGCCTAGGGTTGTTGTGAGGTTAAAATGGAGAGGAGGACTACCTTGTAAGCTACCTTGGGTTTCTTGCAATAGGAAAAATAGGGATTTAAATGTAATTACTACTAATACTACTACTACAGCCTGGTTCCTAAACAAACTAAAATGTCTTTGTATATGAACTTCAGTTTAAAAAAAAGGTTGGAAAATCATGCCATGTTAATTATGATAAAATTATGATGCATTTGTTAGTCTCTTCAAGCTGGTTACTCACAGAAGGGAAAGGAGAGGGATTTTGACCGTAATCAGAAGGGAAAGGAGAGGGATTTTGTGTGTTTTTCTGTGATTTAGCTTGTCTACATGTGGTTTTCTGCTTTGTATAAAACCTGGCTTTTGTTTTTTGGGGGGATAGAAAAAAAGGAAATTAGGTGCTACATCAGTGGCAGCCACTTCTGATGAAGATGACACTGAATCCAATGAAGATGATGTGGTGACTATCAAAAGAAAGAAACATGCATCACCTAGTGAGTCAAATGTTCCTATTAGTATTTGTCATACATACATCATTTTAATAAAAAATTTCCAACGATATTTAAGTTTTGTAATAAATGACCATTTTGTTGAGTAACTTGAAGAAAATAAGATTGTCAGCTATGTGCTGGCAGCAAATGTGAAATATATTTGCTCCCCATCATATAGAACGGATGACAGTTTCTTGATGAAAGTTGTTGTTGGTGGTTCCCTGCCCCTTTTCCCACCATTTATTTTCCTCTCTGTTCTCATTTTTATCCTCCCCTATCTTGTCCAATTCACTGTCAGGAAGTGCTGACTCCCCAGGACCAATTCATCACAGCAGGTTGCAGCCAGAGGCTAGCAGCAGCAGCAGCCGTTTGCAGCAGTGAGTGGAGCTACTTTAAGAAAAGGGAGTTCTCCAAATAGACAGAATAATAATCTTGGTTCTGTTTTGGCATAATTGGTAGTTTATGAGCCACACAAACACATCAGCAAGCCTGTCGAAAGCAAGGATTGTTGCCCTACTGTCTCAGCTCTTTTGGGTAGGAACGGCTATGGATTAGAGTTTGGACCCCCTCTGTCAGTGAGTTATAGGCTGTCCTCCACAAAAGGCAATGTGGCAGATGGTACTTATTCTATGTGCCATGTATGATGTGGATAATACTTACGGGACCTGACTTACAACCAGCCTTTTCCTCCATCTAACCAGGTACTGTCTGATCTAGGTTAGATAAAATACCATGGCTTGTTTTATTTTTTTTAAGTTGAAATTGATTTTTTAGTTCAGCTTTATGAAAATCAGTACAGTTAAAGTTCATTTTATTGCAAACATGTTAAAGAAAAACCTAACATAAAAATGAAACCATGACCATCTGTCAAACCAGAGTCAGCTAGGACTATGGCCAAGTCAAAAGTTGCCAAACTTTGGGTGGATAGTGGGGGGGAGAGGGCCATTTCAGTTGGATGGAAGTTTAAAAAAAGCATTTTAGGGGGTACTTAGAGTTGGTGGTAGCCCAGCAGTGATAGTTTAAAAGCCCCAGAACTTTTAAAAACTGTTTTTTTGCCTCTGCATGTGTGCTAGAAATCTCAGTGCCCATCCCCATCCCCCCGGAATATCCTTGGCATGATGTTGCTATGCTGGGTTGATGTGACATCAGTCCCAGGGTTGTACAAGCTAGAGGTGATTCTGTATTCCTTTCCTCCTTCCTTCCTTAAACAAACAAACCAGCTGTTGTATGTATGTACAGCGAAAGATTATAGGTCACTGTCTCCTTTATTTCTTTCTGTAGAAGGCCAACTACCTTCTCTGACATTTTGGAGGAGCATCCTAAGGGCCACCTAACAAATTTAAATTGGGATAGGGTAGAGACAGCAGGATTCTAGCTGTCTACATTGCCCTCGTTCTCTGTAGACTTCTAGGTGTTCGGTGAAGCTGTCACCTGTTAACATAGGAAGAGCCCTGCAGGATCCGAGCAAAGGCCTATCTAGTCCCAGCCTTCTGTTCACACTAGATGCCTGTGTGAGGAACCCTCAAGCAGGACAGGAGCACAGCAGTGCTTGTTTTTCCCAGTAACCAGTACTCAGCGGCATGCTCCCTCTGCTACTGAAGATGACATGTTTCCATCATAACGAGCAGCCATTGATCGCCTCATCTTCCGTCAGATGTTTTTCAAACCTGGGTCAGCCAGCACTATGCTGGAGAACCTTCTATACACAGAAAAGCATAAACACATGATCTGACTCTTTCTTGCTCTCCCACCTTGCTCTCTTCTGTTTCTCCATTGACTGTTGCTTCCAGTCTCAGAGACCCACTAGGGGAAAAATGGCTGGAAGAAGTGGCTTTAGGGGGAAAGCAAAGGGAAGGGTAGCCATGCTTGTTCCACTCACTCTGTGCTTTTATTTAATGCTCTTGGTTTATGGGAACTTGACACAACACATTTGGTGCTGCTCATATGTTTAGTTCAGCCTTAAAAACTCCCTCAGTGTGGGGATGGCTGGAAGCAGGAAAGTCTTGCATAGTTTTACCTCTGAAATGTGTGAGCTATGGAGAAGCAAGAATGAGGAAAGCAAAAAAAAAAAAAAAAAAGCAAGAAAGGGCAGAAATTAAGATTAGGTGGAGAGAAAAGAGAACATGTATTGTGTGGTGGCAAGAGGAAACGAGAGAGCATTAATGGAGGTTCAGAGAATTTTAGAAAGTGTTGTAGAGAGAAGAAAGTACAGGCTAGGAGTTGAAGAGAGACAAAAGGTCTCACAATATGTAGAAATGCAAGCTTTGCATAAAATATAGTATCACATATACCAGCCATCCCCAGTTCAGTGCCCATCTCTGACAATGCTGGCTGGGGATGTTGGGAATCAAACACATCCAGAGGCACCAGGTTGGGAAAGACTGGCATAAACTATGCTTTCAAGTGGTGGCTGTATTCTCCCCTGCGTATCACTTGTGCTTAACTGTGCTAGGATTTCACTGGCATTTTGTAGGTTACCTTCAGTGCTGTGTGATCTTTCTGTGGTTTTCACATCTTGGTTTAGGCGTAGAAATCAGCTGCAGATTGATCTCATAGATACTGGTTTCCAACTCATAAATTGAGCGACAAATCAATAGCTCTTAATCCAGGTATTCTGGATAGCCCACTGCTATTTCCCTTCCGTTATGAAATTTATTTCATGTATATTTTCTTTAAGAGCCTTTATGGTGACTCAGGGAAGGACATTGCTTATTATGCCGTATTCCATCCTTCCCCACCCAACTCATTGCCCTCTGAATGTGTTGGAGTGCAACTCACATAATTCTCAGCCAGCAGACCTGGGAAAACAGTTTAGGAGGGAAGTGGGAATGTCTAAGTTCAGTTTCAGCTTGATGAGCCTCAGCGACGTGCTATACACTGGGTGAAACTCCAGTAGGCATTTGAAACTTGCTTTTCTACATAACCAACGCTGACTCACTGCTAACTTGTAATGTTCACCCATGCTTGGAGCACCTTGTTTCTTAGGAGGAGCTATTACCTGGTTTGCCCAGGACTGAAGTCAAACATGCATGTGTGCAGTATTCAGGTCAATGAGCCTGTTTGTCGAATGCTGCTCTTTAAGTCTAAATTGAGTTCTCAAGTGCCCAAGGATTTTAATTCATGATGAGCCTTAATTTGGAAACCATAAAGCCCATTTCCCTTGTATCTTCCTATTAAACTGCTGGCTAACCTGTCAGTGGAGGATTTTCAATTCAGGGTATATAATGTATACCCTTCAAGATACTTTCTTAAGCAAACAGGTTTGCATTTTTTGTTTCTTTGGTGTTACTATCAACAACCCTGTTATTTTATGTTGAGAGTTGGTCTTGGTGCCCCGTCTTTGGCTTTTAATGCTTTTGAAACTGGCTGTACTTTTCTCCTTATGCAAATACAAACAAACTGGGGTTTCAGTGTTTTGAACTCTAAAAGAGCACTGGTTAAAGTTAAATAACTGGAGATTCGATGTGGTTTGATGGTTAAGAGTGTGGGGCTAGGACTCGGGTGATCTGGAGCTAACTGAGTGATTCTGGGCCCAGAACTCTCACCCCAACCTACCTCACAGAAGTGGTTATTGCGGGAATAAGATTGAGAGCAGCAGGAGGAGAAGGAAGCAGGATATAAATCAAATAAATAAAATTGGGAATTTAAGTATATGATGTGAGACCTGCAGCATGACATTGCAACATGGAACAGTCTTGTTCAATGTGCCAGCCAATTTACTCTGCCACCTTGAAAATACTCTCTTCTATTTCTCCTCCCTGTTTTCCATTCCTCCTGCACTCACTAATCAGTAAGTCCACATTCCGTGTTCGGGGACTATGCTTAGTCCTCATTGGGCTGCTTTAGGTTTTTCCCCACCCTCCATCTGAGGTGTTCCCTTTGTACAGAGGGCATTGTGTACTTCTGCAAAATACTTGCATTTCCCATAAGTCTGCTGATGTGCTTGTGCACGAACTATCAGAACACAAAAAATGACTTCAGTATTAGAAAATAGCAGGGGTGTCAAACCTCAGGACCATAAGAAGTACCCCATTCTGGCCCACTGGGGTACTCAGATGGCCTCAGTCCATTCCCCTGGCCATACACTCTTTCCTTCAGCCCACAATTTTGGTGATTTCCCAGCTTTTGTGCTGTTTTTCTCATTCTAAATGGTGCTTCACCCTAATACTTAGCTACTGGTTCGACACTCCTGGTACATGGGATGAAGCAGAGGGATTGATCTATGATAGTGCTTCTGGTGTGCCGTGATCTGTTTTACACTTGTTTTTAATAGGTAAGGAAGCATTCAAATGGAGATACTAAGCCACAGAGTCCTAGCAGACACAGCCTAGTTGCTTGTATGCTTTCATGTCTGTGTTTTTAAAATTAAGAGACACAGTGTTTTTTTCAGAGGCCCGGCCTCTTCTGTGCATCTTTTGGTAATTAAAAGGGCCACCATTCCTTTGTTTTCTTTTTGGTATTCGGCAAGAAGGGCACTTGCCCATATTAGGGAAAGATTAGACATGAGAATGAGAGGAGACTGCAGCAGGTAACTGTTAGCTATCTTGACTTGCCTGCTAATTTCACATGGACCTCGCTTGCAGTCAGATTTGTGCCCTGAAATCTCTGGAACACAGAGATCAGATCTGACAGCAGGCAAGGTGAGAGACCTGTTTGTTTTTGAAGTGATATAGACACTGAGATATTAGCAAAAACAATGAATGCAAGAATTATTTATGCTTCTGCTTTATCTGCTAATGTACTCTCTGAATCAGCCATTATTTTAACTTAAAATGTTTTCTTCTACTTGAGATCTAACAGAGATTTGTAAGAGAGAATTGGGATTCTTTGTAGTTAAATCAGACAACAAGCACCTTTTGTCTCCCTGCCTTGTCCACAAGTCAAATTTCACCCCTCCCTCCCCCTTTTGGAATAGTCCCAAAGGCAGAATCTGGGACTGTGGTGATGTTGCTGCAAGATAAACCATGTGTATATACATAGACATACAAGTGTTTGCACAGATCTCAGGCTGAGTCTTACAAGAAGAGGGGGAGATGAATCTCCAGCACTGCTTCTGCATTCATATACTTTAGTCCTCGGGCACAGAGCTACAAACCAGAGGGCCAAGCCCACCCCTCTGTAGTTCTTCAGAAGGCCACACCTGTTTCTTTTAACACATCCCCTTTTCCATAACCACAAAATGTCCAGTGATTTCCTGGCTTTTCCATTTTTTTCCCTATTCAGAAAGTATGAAATGCCTCTCCTAAGGCTTAGTTCCTTGCAGTAAGAGCTGCTAAGCTAAGATATGTGGAAATTTGGCCCTCCAGCTTTTGCTTTTGGCCTTCCCTCTGCTGGAATGTAGTGCTCTGAAAACTTCCAAAATGGAATTTGACCCATGGGCTGAAAGCAGTTCAGCACCTACCGTAGTCCCTGCGTACACACAGGGGAACACTTTTTAAGGCCTCTTGCCATTGGTGGAGTGGGCAGATAAAACCATACAAATGGATAGATAGTGCCAGTAGGCTGACTATTCATTGACCCTATCAAACTATCATTTATGTCTTGGAATACTATATACTACTTCTATAAATTTTGTTACTATAAATTAATTTTATGAGACTCAGGATTGTCCTAAAGCTAGGGTATTTTTATGAGGGGTGTAAATCACTGAAAAATGTGGATTTCTCCTCTTAATGTGATAATATAGAATGCTTTGACCATCACTTTGTGATCAGTATTTCTAATCTTTAATTTTTTTTATTCTCAACAACTGTAGACAAGAGAGGCAGAAAACCCAAATTGCAGAAGAATTTACCAGAAGCCAAGACAAACCTGAATCTCAAGAAGAGAATTGAGAATTAAAAGGGTCAGAATAATGTATGTTTGCCGCTTTTCCTAGGTGTTTTGGTTTGGTTTATTTGCAGTACTTTGTGTATGTGCAGTCTGTAGACTGTTACTGTATTTTGCTTTTGTGTGTGTGCAATCTATAGACTTACTGTGCTGCATTGTGTAGTTGCAACTGGAAAAATAAAATTTTAAGTCTTATTTACAGAATGTACAGCTTAATACCAGTACATTTCAAAATCCTTAAATGGCTGTTTTGTACTCTTTTGCAGCTGTTCACTTTGTATCAAACTTGAATAAAAGCAAACTTTTAATTGTCATGTTTGTTTAAATGAAATCACCCAAGACAGAAGTTGAAGCATGCTTGAATTACAAGTTCTGTTGGAGTCTGTCTGAAGTATATCCAAGTTAAATGTGTTTATGATGGAGGGTGTGACTGCAGTTGCCAACTAAAGAAAGACCAGTCCAGTGAATCTTTTAATTTAAGGCATTTCTGTCTCCTTTTAATATAAACAAAAATGACAACAATAAGTCACATTCAGCAAAATAGATAAAAAACTATAACCATGACCATAATAGCTGCTGAAATACCTGGGCAAATAAAAGGATCTTTGCTTGATGCTGAAGTTATGTGGTCCACTTACAAGACAGGTGGAAATAATGGCTCAGGTAAGTGAAAATACTTTAAGAAACAGGCTGCCTCCAAGAACATGCTCATTCCAGGAGTTTTTGATGATGACCAGAACCAGGTCCACAAAACCTCTCAAATGAAAATGCCCCTTTGGTTTTCTTTGAGGAGTCCGCTCTCCAAGAAACTAATTCAGGTTGCTGATCAGAGGGGTGGGGGGCACTTTGTTAATTGCTATTGGATGTCAGAAAATGCTGCAGATTGACAGGACATCTCAACCTACCTTGTGCTTCATGATACAGTGTTCTGTTGCTTAACAATATTTTGCCTTTCTGGCCCAGAACTTGAACACCACAAGGCAGATAACTTAACATTAAAAAACAACTACAATCTAAATCAAGTAGACTGGTCTTCCATTAATAAAAGATTACAACAAGGTGTGATAGGATTACATCCTACCTTGTTGCTGCGTAAAATGGAGGAAGCCTCCACTCTCTTTTCCAAGTGAAAAGTTAGGGTGCAAACCAGAGCATTACCTTTAGTAAGCATTAATTTGACAGAGAAACAGAAACAGCGAGTCAGAAGGGGCCTCCCGGGCCATCTAGTCTGACCCCTGCCTCCAGCCGGCTCTGCTCGCGACATGCCCACCATGTGCATGTCCAGCCTATCTTTGAACACCCTCATCGATGGGGCCTCAGCAACCTCTCGTGGAAGCCCATTCCACACCCTCAGGGTCCTAACTGTCAGGAAGTGCTTCCTGGCATCTAAATGGAACCTTGGTTACCTGAGCTTTCCACCGTTGGAGCGTGTCCTGCCTTCCTCTGCAGGGGAGAACAGGTCTCTACCCATCTCTGTGTGACATCCTCTCACATACCTGTATGTCGCCAACATATCCCTTCTGAGTCTCCTCCAGGCTGAAGAGACCCAGTTCCCTCAGTCTTGCCTCATACCCCATCCCCTGCAAACCGGCCACCAACCTTGTGGCCCTACGCTGCACTGACTCCAACCTGGCTATATCCTTTCTGTAATGAGGGGCCCAAAACTGAGCACAATACTCCAGTTGCAGGCACACCAGAGTCGTATAGAGCGGTAGTAATACCTCTCTCAATCTAGAAGCCACACTTCTGGCTATGCAACCAAGGGTGGTGTTAGCCTGCAGTCAACCAGCACCCCAAGGTCCCTTTCACAAGTGCTGCTCTCCAGCCACTTGTCACCTAACCTGTACTTATGACCCCTATTCCTATGCCCCAAGTGCAAGACCTTGCACTTATCCACATTGAACGCCATCCTGTTGTCTCCTGCCCACTTCCATAGTCTGTCCAGATCCTCTGGATCTGGAGTACCTGCTCCTCAGTTGTGGCCACTGCTCCAGTTTTAGTGTCGTCTGCGAATTTGATCAGCAGACTGTTCACCCCTTCTTCCATGTCGTTGATGAAAAGATTAAATAGGATCGGCCCCAGGACAGAGCCCTGGGGGACCCCTCTTGTCACTGGCCACCATCCCAATGATTCCATGCTAATGGTTACCTTCTGCTTTCAGTCAGTCAATCATGCCCTAATCCACCGGACAGTGCTTTGGTGTATCCCAAAACTCCTCAGTTTCTCCACCAGGATATCATGGGGCACTTTGGCAAAGGCCTTGCTGAAATCCAGGTATACCACATCCACTGCATCCCCTCCATCTAGCCATCTCGAAACCTTGTCATAGAATCCCACAAGGTTTGTCTGGCAGGACCTGTTTTTGCGGAAGCTGTGTTGTGTGGTTGTCAGCCTCCCTTCCCTATCTAGCATCACTAGATCTCTCTCTATTATGAGCCTTTCCATTGTTTTTTCTACAATGGACGTAAGGCTAACTGGAGAACCCCTCCATCAAATAGTTAAACCTCAATCCCGTTTTTTTGCAAGATGTGCTCCCAATTTGCACATTTTTGCATCCTTTATTTTGCTCAAGTATGAAACGTTTTATGTTGTTCTGCACTTGTATCTCTCCTTTTTTTCCTTGTGAAGCAGTGTACAACACTCCTCCACCACTGAAGTTTCACAGCAAGAACCCTGTGAGGTAGGTTAGGTGGAGAGTGGATGGCGCAGTCACGTCATGAGTTGCGTGGTTGAGTGGGAACTAGAACCCAGATCTCCCAGTTCCCCAGTCCTACACTTCAAGTATCACACCACCCTAGTTTATGCTTCTATCAAAACATACATAGGATTACAAAGTTTAATTAAACAGGCATGTGATTCTCTAACTACTTTCCCACAATGAGCTAAGAGATAGCCAACCATGTTTTGAAAAAGAAACTGAAGGAGCATGTTCATAATTTCAATTTCTTGTGTCCACAGGAAATGAATATATACTGGAGCATAAAATAATACTGGAATATATACTGGAGCACTGCTTTTATTTATTATATAAATATATTCAAATATATATAATATATTCAAATTCTTTCATAAACATTTTAAACACACTGTGACCATTAAAGTATGAGGGAAGGACAGGAAGGCTTGCATAATGCTGTTTAGAAGGTTAGAGTTTAAGTGCTATGCTAGATCAAACTAAAATACAATCTTGTCCAGTGTTCATTTTCAACAGCCACTTGCCTCTGGAAAGCCTGTGTGCTAGACATGGAGTGAAATGGCATTTTTGTGCCCAAATTCCTAGGGAATTTATATTTGGGGACGTGCTGCCGCCCCAACTGGAAGTTACATATATCCATCATCACTAGTCACCACTGATAGCTTAATCCTTCATGGATTTGTATAACCCCCTTTATATATTGTACAGTCTACATATAGTAGAAGTGAATTCCATAGTTCTTGTGTGAAGAAGTACTTTTTACAACCTGTCCTGAATCTGCAGCCAATCAGCCTCATGGGATGACCCCAGATTCTACTATTATGAGAGAGGGAGAAAACTATCTCCCTATCTGCTTTTTGCACACCGTGGCCTGCGTTCATACAATGCTTTCATGTCTCCCCTTATCATTTTTCCTATGCTAAACAACCCCAGATGTTGTAACCTTTCCTCCTAGGGGAATAGCTCCAGCCTGTTGATCATTTTAGTTGCTTTCTCTGCACCTTTCCCAACTATACAGTATTCCTTTTGAAGTGTGGTAACAAGACCTTCTCACACTATTCCAAGTATGGTTACACCTTAGAGTTGTATAAAGGCAGTATGCTTTTGGCAGTTTTGTTTTCAATCCCTTTCCTAATTATGCCCAAGATGGAATTCAACATTTTCATAGCTCATAGGTTGTCATTGAGCTGTCTACCACAACTGCAGGATCTGCTAGCTCAGATCTCATCAGCATGTACATGAAGATGGGATTTTCTTTTGTCTTACTTGCTTACGGGGAGTCACATTTGTTATTTTGATGCTCTGTTAACCAGATCGGTGAGATTATTTTGCAGCTCTTATAACCCTCATTTTTTTTAGTCACCCTAAATAATTTGATATATTAGCAAACTTGGCCACCCCACCATTTGCTCTTAATTCCAGATCATTTATGAACTAGTGAAATTTGTGAAAGCAAATTCCATTGCACTGTGTGAAGAAATACTTCATTTAATCTGTCCTTAATCTCCCACCATTTAAACTTCATTATGGAAAGATTCTACCACGTGCACTCTCGCTCGCTCTCGTGTGTGTCCACTTTCTCCACACTGTGCATAACTTTATACACCTTTTTGCTAGCTACCTGTTCCCAAAATCTCAATTTTTCTCAACGCCTCTTGATCTCTATCACTGATCACTTTGGTTGCCTCAGATTTCTACAGTTCTCTGATACCTTGTAAAAAGATTTTTAGTGAGAACAGTCAGCCAAACATGTCAGCCTAGTTTATTTTCTAGAAGCCAAAGATAAGTAATCTTAGTGAACTCCTGATTTCGCTCTTTATCCAAAAGCAAAATTTGCCATCCAGCATTGACATGAAATTTGAAAGAAGTGAGCCTCCGCTGCACCCACCAGGAGTTCTTCATCTGTGCTCAAGCTGCCTCCCGTGGTGTTTCACTGCTCTCATCTCCAGGTTACCACAGAGGTGTATGAGTTCTACTACAGAGAGGGCACTCAAGGAGCATTTATATCACCTGCCTGGGTCATCTCTATATTCCAGCGATTAATCAGGGATTCCACAGAACCAGCAGCCGGCAGCCCGAACCCTCTGGATCCATTAGCCCCAGGAGACAGACCATCATAACAGATCCCTCATCCTTGCAGAGAGGAACAGTTGCTGCAAATCTAAGTCTCAAAGGGAGCAATTCAAATCCCTTGCTATTATTGAAAAAAAATCTAGAGTGTGTCCTGTTATGTGTGTCGGGCCAGTGCCGTCCATGAATCCTGAGATGCCCCAGATGAAGCGCTCTCAGCATGGATGCTGACATCCTCCAAAAGCAACAGTTGTCGGGGAATCTCAGCATAGCAACTGAGGCTGCTTCTGTCAGTTCAGATAGGGAGCCTGTTGAGCAGTAAGCTGGGTGGTACACAATAACATTCCTAATCTTCCCTGTTGGCCCAATACCAGATGCAAACACTCCAGGCTAGTAGTCAAACAGGAAGCCTGGAGAGAGAGAGAGCTCCTATAGGCCATGGCAACGTCCCCTTCCTGGCCTTCCTTGATGCTGAGTCAAGTACCCCAGTGGGCATAATGGCCAGAGACCAATCCTTGCCTGTTCACCCACCCATGATTCATGCCAG